TTGGGACAATGTTCTGGGACCTTGGATCCAAAACGTAAGTTACAACTGAGAAGTTCCTAAAGCCTACTCTTAAATTTTCTATTATCTGATATATATATATACATTGTAAAACTCAGGACAAAGCAACAAGAACTGTTCAATGCAATGGGTTCAATGTACGCTGCTATTATCTTCCTTGGCGTCACTAATGCCTCATCCGTGCAGCCAGTTGTGGCTGTTGAAAGAGCAGTCTTCTACAGAGAAAGAGCTGCTGGAATGTACTCGGAAATGCCATATGTCATCGCACAACTCTTAATTGAGATCCCATATGTTTTTGCTCAAGCATTGGTAAATAGTGTCATAGTCTATGCAATGATAGGATTCGAATGGTCAGCTGCAAAGTTCTTCTGGTACATATTCTTCATGTACTTCACATTACTATACTACACCTACTGCGGAATGATGGCTGTTGCTGTGACACCAAACTACCACATTGCTTCTATAGTTTCATCTGCCTTTTATGGATTATGGAACCTCTTTTCTGGATTCATAGTTCCTCGACCTGTAAGTACAGCCTTCTAAATTCTCATAATTTTTTACGAGTGCTTGGATTGAACCGAATATGTATAAATCAATTTTTTTTGTCTTTAATGTTAGAATTCTTGTCTCATCCTTCTGTTTTCCTTGTTCCATAACAGAGGATTCCTATATGGTGGAGATGGTATGTTTGGTTATGTCCAGTATCTTGGACCTTATATGGATTGGTGGTATCACAATTTGGTGATCTGAAGAACACGCTGGAATCTGGTGAAACAGTAGAAGAATTTCTGAGGAGTTATTTTGGGTTTAGACATGATTTTCTAGGGGTTGTGGCAACTGTAATTGTTGGGTTCCCATTACTCTTTGCAGCTATCTTTGCTGTGTCCATTAAGGTGTTTAATTTCCAAAGAAGATAGACCCTTATTGTGACATATGTGCAGAGAAGGAGCATGCTTTAAGCTTTGTATTGTGCCAGTCATGTGTATTAAATTTTGCTGAACATTTATCTTGTTACCCAAGTGTAGTGCTCCATGACTGTTTCATCTTTCTTTTAAATAGGGACGATATTTTTTTATTAATAAAAATTTGACAAAACAAATACTTATTGACCCTAAAAACATTAATTTGAGATTAAAATTAAGAGGCTAGAATCAAGGGTTAAAACATTTTTGTTGACAAGTAATTAACTTCTTCAAAATATTAAAAAAAAATGATGTTTTTGAAGAAGAAAATTATAAATTAATACAAACAAAGTTAAATTTCTTTTTGACTCTCAAATTTATTGTACTAATTTTGTCCTTCTACTCAATTTTGCACTTTTTCTATCCCCAACTCGTAAATTCTCCAAGGTAGTCCCTTACTTAACGGAATGATGACGCGTTAACTTCTTCCGTTAACAAATCCTTATTACTAATTAAAAATATTCCTAAAAAAGAACCGGGGTATACAATTTTATTAAATTGTGGACTTGTACATTTTAATCTTACATACATTCTAACAAAAACTAAAAAAAAAAAAACTTTTGTTTAGTATAGTTGTAATTTTTAATATTTAAATTTAATTTTTAAAATTTAAATAATTAAAATTAATAATGAAAATAAAATTAAAAATTAAAATTGTTCATTTATTAAATATAAAATTTTAAAATAAATACAAAAAAAATCCTAAATTTAAATAATTTATATAACTTTTTAAAATTTTAAAAACTGAAGCTAAAATCTTACAATCTCAATCATGTTTAACTAAACAAATTAATCACATAAACAAAAGATTACAAATCTATCCTATGTTTAAGGGTAGTTTAACTAATTAAAGAATAATTTAAATTAAGGATCTTTTACTTCAAGAAAGAAAAAATTATTAACAATTATTTAAGTTGTTGATATTTTAAAGTAATTTTATATAAAAAAATATTATATAATCTAAATTATATTAAATTATACAATATTAATTATTAAATAAAGATTAATTTCTTTAATATTAAGAATTTCTCTAATCAAATAATTACTATTTCACTGTTAGGTATAGTTTAAGATTGTAAAACATGACTACCTTTGCATAATCCATTTCCTATGATAATTTTTATTTTAATTCGGATAACCCATGAAGAGCTCAATAAAATTGTTGCAGAACTACGACATATATCGTGACTATACCAAGGCTCTGCATTTTTTGGGAAAATGGTTTTTTTTTTTTTTTCATCATTATAGCTTTTTTTGCCCCACCCAAGATGGTGGATGTAGTTAATGCAATTATTTGTCCTAAAATGGGAAAAGTTGGGAGAATGTCTTTATTCTCAAAAGAGGACCAGACAATACTTGTGACTCGCACATGAATGTTATAATGAAATAAATTAAATTTTTAATTTTTATGAGCATTATTTTTTATATAAATATTTTATATTATTTGCTTTTAAATATTGACAATATAAAATAAAGTGATAATTAAAAACAAATGCCAAATATATCTTTACAATTTTTTATCATACATATCAATGTTCTTTAGTAAAGAATGTTAGAAAAGCTATTCATTTACACATATGTTTCCTTTTCAATTTAATTTTAGATCTATTTAGTATAGTAGTTTGAAGGTAATGATTAGTAGTTTCACTCAAACTGTTAAAAATAAGCATTTGATGAATTTATTTATTTTAAAATCGTTATAAATTAAATGTTTTATAAAACTTTTTATTTAAAAATTTAGGACTAATGAATAGTGATTAAGATTCAAACCGTTAGCAGATTGAAAAACTTATCTGAGGTAGCTTTTTGGATCCAACCGCTAGT